CCAATAAAATTTAATCACCTTACTTATAACTCTACTAATATCTCTTATCTCTTCACCCAATAGATTTTTCAAACAATCACTAAAAAGTTTCCTCGATCGAAAATCGCTCTTAATAAAAAAAAAAAACACAGAGAAGAAGGGACGAATTCCGCGCAATAATAATTTTATTTTAAAAAAAATACCATCCCATTGCGCGAAGGATCGATGTAAACCAGCCATTACGCGTATATAGTTAAAAAAAAAAAAAAAAAAGAAAAGAAACCGAAAAGAGTCTCCGACGAAGGTCTTACGAAGGTTTTCACGATTTTGGTGAAACGATGGTGCGCGTAATAAACGTTTGATAAACGTCGATGGGTTGTTCAGATCCTGGCCGTTTCGATTTAATATCATACGATGTGTCGGAACGCAGCATATTTGGACGTGGAGCGGTGTAATCGAGAGAAAGGGACGCACGATACTTTTCTTGCCCGTCAAACCGAGAAATCTGGGGGCGCGTGGATTGCGACAAAAAGTGCGGGAAAGTGCGCAGCCAACCTTCGCCCGTGAAATTTCGACAATTGAAAACGGCGCAGGCATACAGAATTCGCGAAACGAAAACGCGGTTATCTCTCTTTCTCTCTCTCTCTGTGCGTTATGGCGGACGAGACATGTACATCTCTGGACGTGGCCTCGCATACGAATGAATATTCGTATTTCAGGATTTTCAGGATCGACGGGGTGTGTGCTGTCAAAAGGGTTCGTTTCAGAATGTTGAAATTTGGTTTAAATCTCGTTTTTGTTTTTTTCTTTAAACTTTATATTATGGTATTAGTTTATATTGAGAAGAATTGGAGTTCCTGTCAGATGGAATTGCGTTTAAATCATTTAAATTATATTTCTTTATCTTATAATCTGAAGAATTAGATTAGGATTTTTAATTAATTAAAATAACGTTATATTATGTAATAATATTGTTATGTAATAATGATTAATTAAAAATAATTTAGAGATTTTAAGAATAGTTTCAAATCTTTATATCTTTTGTAAATCATCAAATGTATCTCTATTACGTTAGGTTTGTAGATTAAGTGTATAATATAAGTAAAAAGATTAAAATTGTAACATTTATTATTTGATTATGTTACGGAAATATATTACAATCTTCCTCTTGAAAGAAGATAATTATAAATTACACGTTTCAAATGGATAACTCTATTTTCTTCTAAAATTTTATTTATCTTTTTCTATTTACATAGAAATAGCGTTACATCTAATGGAAATATTAAATAGAAAATGTAAAATCATTGTCAGACTTCCTCTGTAATCATATCTCAATTTAATTTTTTTTTCTCAGCATGAATCATGAATGGTAATTGCTTTAATATGTACGTAGTTAATTATTTGATTCATTTCTTATATTCTTCTTAAAACTAATGGTTTACGTATCTAATGATTAGAATGAAGAATGGATTTACGTCAACGTGACAATGAAAACAATTAAGAATTATCTTTATCAAAAAAAAAAATAAATAAATAAATAAATGATATACTTCTCACATTCAATGAATCATATTTAATAATAAACTTACATTTTTATCTGATTAAAAAACAATTATTTGAAGTGGCAACTAATTATCTCAAAAGTCTACAAGACTTGAATCACGTTCACAATATTCCGTGTAATAATACCTTTATTAATTCAATCTTTCACGGTATATTTTCTTATCTCATTAAATGTCAATCAAATACAATCAACTACAAAATTACCATACAATTTTTCTATCTTCGAACTAATAGAAAAAAAAATTGAGTTATTCATAGATTACGACTTATTCTCAACTTTTTTTTCTTAACTTCTTTAGGAATACCATTTTCTAAATTAATATTTAATGGATCTTTTTTTTTTTTTTAAATGCTGGACAAAAAAAAATTCTCATCGATTTCAAAGTACAAAATGCTATATAATATGATTTGGAAACATATCGATCACTGTACATCGTTTCCACTAACCTCACTTTGCTTTCTACAGTGGCGCTGCTATCTCGAGAAACGGCCTTGCGAAAGGCAAATCGCAACAACACACGGGACAACAGGATATACATTCGTAGGCATCGTGGGCAGCCTTGTCGCGACGTCCATGTCGGAAAACACCTGCGTTTCAACGGCCTAGAACAGCAGACAATCCTTTACGTCGGCGACCTTCCGCAAAGTATTGCGAAACTATCGTCCACTGTAAACGCAACCTATGCCATCGAGATGCATAGGATTGCCCGTTTGACTCTGCTTGCACGAATGTCTAACGTGCATTGTCACACGATGACAGCCCACCATTTGTTTCACCAGACTGGTTCAACGTTCGTTGAACAACGTTATCCGTGTTCAACAATATCGAAGTTAATATTTTCAAATTAATTGAAACAGGAACGAATGCTTTGTTATTTTTTCCACTTGCAATATGGCAATAAGTCGATTCGTGCAATTATATATGCAAGAATATATGCGGTAAGTAAACAAAGTAAATAAAGTTATAAATAATAAGTTGAAATGTTTAGGTTTCATTTCAAGAGTTTTATAAATGGAATAAAATTTGTCAGCTTGTAACTTGAGGATAATTTTAAGTTGATAATTTGTAAATATTTAATCGGAATAAGAAGGTTAATAATTATTGATTGTTATTAGAAATTGTGTAATTAGAATGTAAGTATAATTAATATGTTAATATTATATGTTAATTTTCAAATAGATAAGAATTAAATAAAAATTTAACTTAAAATTTAATCCATTTGGCAAAAGTATATATATATATATTTCTAGATACTATCGAGACGTCCAGCAGTTTTCATTTTCTTCTCAATCGAACATTTATGAGTGATGTACAGTCAGGTCACTGTAATTCTATGAACAGTATTCCTGGTGTTCGGCACCCCCTATGGCGAGAAGTGATTCTAAAAAACTCGACATGGGCAGGGCTAAAAGAAAGAAGGAAAAAGCAGTCATTGCCAAAAAAAGACACATCAGATGTAGCAGATGTATTGGATGGTACAGAAAAATAAGGGACATGAATGAGCTCATTATCGATTCGGCATCGGAATTGCTTAATTTACTCATTCAGGGACCTACATACGTTTTTGCGGAACATAAATGTTTAAGGATAATATTGTATAAAGATCTAGCCTTACATTTGTATTAAGATATAAATTGAATAATTTTTCCTTTCCATTTCGATAATAATTAATAATAAATCGTATTTTTTATACAATATTTAGTGCATATAATCAACATTTATAAAAATCATTTATATGTAATATGATTACAAATTAGAAAATTAAATGGTGAAATAAGATGAAATATATGATTAAAGACCAAATAACATGTTTTGCAGATATATTCGAAATTTTAAATTATAAAAATAATTTTTTATTAAAATTAAATCCTTGTTTCACATTTAATATTTTAACTATATGTTTTAAGAATGCTTCGTAAAGAATAGGTTCGACAAACGAATATTTGATGGAACTTTTTTTTTAATGTTTTAGAATTCCGTCCTATTCTCTTTGTTGACAGTTAAATTTTCGTTTGTTTAAATCCCGTCCTTACATTGTCACCAAAACATTGTGTCTCGTGTTACATGTCTGAATATATTATTTTTTTACAAAGTTATCGTTCACATTTTAAAACCGAAAATGTAGTATCTATACGTTTGAATTGAAAATTAAAGTACATTGTAGTTTTAAGAAAGAAATGATGGATGTATATTCAATTCCGCGTGATCACGCGCCAAAAGTGTAGACAAAGAAAGCAAATAATGAGAGAAGGACAGAGATAGAGTAAAAATTAGGAAATCAGCGCCATCTGTTGAATATCTTAGCTGGAACAAATGTAGACAAAGAAAATAGATGGCAGGAAAAGGATGGAGATAGAATAGGAGTTGATCGCTAGTGCCATCTTTCGGACTATAAATACTTCATTGAAAGCAAGATAAAATAGAACAAGAATTAAAGATCAGCGCCATCTCTTGTATGCTTTTCTTTGTATGCAAAGAAATACATCTTTTGATATCTAAGAGATGGCGTTGACGGTTAATTCTTAATCTATTTTATCTTGCCTATTTTTAAAGTAAAAATTGACCGTCAACGCCATCTCTTGGATAACAAAAGACATATTTCTTTGCATACAAAGAAAAGCATACAACAGATGGCGCTGATCTTTAATTCTTATTCTATTTTATCTTATTTTTAAAGAAATATCTTTATCACCCGAAAGATGGCACTAGCGATCAATATCTATTCTATCTCTATCCTTTTCCTGCCATTTGTTTTCTTTGTCTACATTTGTTCCAGCTAAGACATTCAACAGATGGCGCTGATTTCCTAATTTTTATTCTATCTGTCCTTCTCTCAATATTTGCTTTCTTTATCTATACTTTTGGCGCGTGACTATAAACGCGTTACGGGATATCAAAAGATTTAAAGTAAAGAAAAAAAAAAATACATTAGATAATAAATTTATTCTAACATCTTGTATTAATAATTATTAAATAATAAAATAATATAATTTGTTTTTATTTTATTAATATAAAACGCTAAAGTTTTTATGCTAATAAAAAATAATTAAATGCACATTATTGATTGATTTTAATATCTTTCTGGATAATAATAATGATATATTTGGATTGAAAACAAATGTTCTGTATCCACTTAATAATATTGATGTATATCAAGTATGTAATACAATATTTCATAAGAAATATATATTACATACTTCTTATATTTCTTATTAAAAATAAACGTATTAATTATAGCTAGTAACCTTCAAAATTTTTCATTCGAACGACAGGTGCAACAAATATATGGGATTGCGTTATGGGGAATTACTATGGAAACCTATAGAATGCTCTACAGTTGACTAATGGAAATTGAACTTTGCTGCACGTACTTTGACGTTAAACGTCGAACTCAAAGGGTTATTGAAACCAATTTCTCGTCTAATTAGCGACAATTTACGGATAATTAATTACGCCGATGTGCACCAGTAGCGATAATAGTGTTAAAACAAGGAATGATACGTCGAAGAAGAATGTGGCATCCGCACAAAATTTATTTATGAAACCATTATTGCGGTTGAAACAGCAAGAACATATTCTTGAAAAAGGATTAATTAGTGCAATTAAAAATATGAAAATAGACTCGAATTTATTACAAGATATCACGCACGAACATACAGAGTTATCCTTAAGAAGGTAAATATCGTCATATGTATAATATTTCAATATTTCAATATTTTAATATTTTAATATTACGCTATTCAAATTAATTCAAATTAATTCGAATTTCTCATAATAATGAAATTAATAAAGAATTAATCTTTTATGATTTTGAACACGTGTCCATGCGTATATGAGAAGTGAAATTCGAGTATTATAAAAATTATACAAATTCAAATATATCTACAAATCTATGTTTAAATATAAATAAATGTTTAATTTATTTTATTTGATGATATTTGGCAGACACAACTATTTAAATACAATGTACAAAAATATAGAAAATATTATTTCCGATTTGGATTCTGTAAAAAATATCGTTAAAAATCCGGAAGAAATTAAGAAATTAGGTAAATAAATATATTTATTCTAAAAATTATTTCTATCCTAATAAACTTATTATTTAAAATACTTGTGTTTATATTTAGATGTAAACATGTACAAATCAAAATTGTTAAAACTTTCGCAAAATATGCAGGATTTCAAAAAATCTTATCCCGTTCAAACTTTAAAAGAGGAAGGGGATGCTTTAAATGCTGAATTTCAAGAATGTAACTTCAATTTGGATAAGTACGAGAAAAATGCAACGCACACGCCATTATTGTGTAAAATTAAAACGGAAAATAAAAAGGAAAAAATAGAATTTAAAGACGTGGATGATTTTCATGGCCTTGTTGCGATAACAGGTAATAGAAATACTTACGCGTTGGTCAAAGATTATAAAAATCATTTTAAAATATCCCAAATTCAACAAAAAAACAGGTCACACGGAAAATTGGACATTGGATGATCACTTGTTTTTTCTAAAAATGAGAAAGAAATGCAAAAGCATTCCAACTCTAGTTACAATGATTCAAAAAAAGTGTCCAGATTTAACAGCTGAAACTATAGTGAATCACGAGGCATGGTACAAACATTATCAAGATTTGCGTGAAAGACAAAAGATGGCGGTGAAGGAATGGCGTCAACAAAAAGAATTAGAGAAAAAAACAAATATCGATGAAATTGGGAAAGAAATCGACCATTGCCACGAAGAGGAAGATTTCCAAAATGAAATTGTTGAAGAGAAAACGATAAAAGTTTTTAAAAAGACAAGATCAAGTCATTCGGAAACTATAAGCAGTGCAAGTTCGAACAATAATAATAACGAGAAGAAAGAATTGATCAAAAAGTGGAAAATTGAGAAGGAAAATAAACGTTTTATGGATGAAGAACAGATGAAAATGCAAATGAAGTTGAAGAAAGAAAGGGAAGAAAATAGAAGAAAGAAACGCCAAGAAAAGATTCAGGAATCTTTGGAAGAATACAAAAAGAAAAAATCAATGGAGAATACTTTGAAAGAAATGAATAAAGTTAACAAAGAGAAATGTAAATATAACGCAACTTTAATTAGGGCGTTTAGGTAAAATTTCAATGTTGTAAATAGCAAAATAAATAAGCAATTAAAGCAAAATAAATAAACAAATAAATAGTGAAATACAAAGAGAAATTTTTCTTACAGGGAGCAGGATAAAGAATATACTGAGAAAAGGAAAAATTTAATTCTACGTTCAAAGAAGCCAAAGAAAAGCGACTTGGTGGATGTAAAAAAGGTGGAACTCGTTGAAACGCGAAATTATTCGACATTGTTAAATAGTACGAAAGTTTGGAGGGAGAAATGTAAAATCGACGATTCAAAAAAGTATTCGAACGAATTTCAATATATCAAGGATATCCCAAAAATGTGAGTAATTAGATATTATTATTAAACCGTTTTTTTATTTACATATGGATGGTGTATTACAGGTGTATCCGATGGAGGAACGAAGAATCGGAGGATCTAAATGTCTAATAAGAAATATACCGATTAAAAAATGTAAAAGACATTAGTATAAATGATCGTACGTATTATCGTATATGCCTAATTTATTGTACTCGTAAAAGTTTTATCATTTTTATGGGTAACACGCTAACGCGACTCAAAGTACGTATAAATATACAATTTCTTTTCCACACGTGAATTTTACAGAATTTTCCTTTAATTTTAATTTTTTCTAAAACAATATTCAACAATAATCATGCGATTGATCGAACGCAAACTTAAAAATTACCTAATTCCCTGTTTAATTTAATCAAAAATACAATTATTTTTTTTTTCTTTTTTTTTTTTTTTTTTTTTTTTNCAATTAATCAATGCTTGGATATACGGGTATTGAAGAAAGAAGAGGAAAATTATTACAGCTAAAAAATATACGATATGTTTTACTCCTCCGCTCGTTTATATCATAACTTCAATAAATTAATTAATCGAACAGAGCATACTCTTAGAGCAGCAAATATATAATAACACAATTACTGCATAATAATTTATATATTAATCAGTATTATATTTGAAGGTATTTTATTTACAGTAATTGTACTTACTTCCTGTTCGAATATCCCCAAACTCTTCGGAATCAATCTTCCACTCTAGAGGCGAACGAAATCTCGGTGTCTGTTTTGTACTTCGTTTCCGAATTGATATACTAAAAGTATTCTCCTATATAGTAACAGTCTTCCATGAGAAAGTGTATCCACGAAACGCGACAGTTCAACCAAATTTGATGGAACGTGAAACCGTGTCTCGTGATCGATCCGTTTTCTTTTTTTTTTT